TGTAGAGGCGGAGCTCTCTGGTGAGTATCATGAGTCAGGACGCTGATCGTAGCTCGCCCCCCGACTCGTCTGCACTGATGTGGATTCAAATGAAAACACTGAACGTCACGCTGAACGCTCCACGCCACGGAAACGTCCGAGAGCGTCAGGTCTTACATTTTTAGAATCGTTTCACACAGAAATCAACATGGACGCCAGGCGTGCGTCTGCCGAGCCGTCGGGTTTACGTACAGGTCTCGTGAGGAACCTCAACATCACACGAGGTGCGAGCCCGACAGTCAAGGCCAAATCCAAACGCACAAAGTGTTTTGTTTGTGAAGGTGCAGTCTGACTGAGGGCTCGTGCACCAAAGTCCGACTGTCAGATCTTTAACCCGTCGTCGAGCAGCACGTTAAAGGCTGCTCAGTAAGCAGGAAGTCGCTGCTGGAGGATCCATTTCTCTTCAGCGTCTGAAACGTCAGCGTGGCTGAACTCGGTGTTTTCAGGCGTCTCCACATTAGCACGAGCATGGCAGTAGGCGGACTCGGAGCCCGGCCGAGAGCCTCGTGTGGGCATGATGGCTCGGTGTTTCTGTGCAGTCTGTGCCGTATGTGCTGAAGCTGTGAGGCTGCTTTCCTTCCTTTAGAGACGTCTCCGGGTCAGTCGTGTTAATGCAGACGCTGTCGGGGCATGATCACATGATCCTCTCTTTGTCCTCCAGAGAGGACGCGATTGAAAACATGTCTTCCTCTCTGGTCTTCTGAGGTTTCCTCTGCCGAGCTGAGGCGGTCCGGGACCTCGGAGCGAACCGGTCATGTGATCATGGCTGAAAGTGTTAATAAAGCTTACGGTGAAGAGATGGTCGTTTGAAAGAAGCCATTTTGAATTTCCACACTCTGAATGGCGCTGCTCCGTGACCCAGCATGCGAACTCAGGCGCTGGAAGTACCCAAAGATCCTGAATGGGATAAGGTCATCCATCCAAGTTCGTTCCACGACACTGCGTCTCCATTTCACAGCTCCCATAACTCCCTCAGGTCCTTCATCCTTTTCTCCTTGGCCTCTTTACCATCCTTCATTCCTCGGCTCGTTTCCTTTCATCGCCCCACTTCCTGCTAAATCTGTTCCTTTGTTTGTCGATGCTGTAGATCTGAGGTTCCCCTTTCTCCTGTTCCTTGAAGAATGCTGAGGAGCTCAGCTGTAGATCCCACATGTTGTTTGGTGTTTCAGTCCTGTGGTCCACAGGTCCTTGGATGTTCAGGTCCTGGTACTTCCTACCTCGGTTCTGTGGTTGTGAAGTTGTGTGGTTTCTACGGTTTGGTCTCTCCTCGCAGGCCTCGCCCCGTCCATCCACGTGTGGGACGCCATGACCAAGCAGACACTGTCCATCCTGCGGTGTTCGCACGCTAAAGGCGTCGGCTACGTTAACTTCAGCGCTACAGGGAAGCTGCTGCTGTCTGTGGGGGTGGAGCCTGAACACACCATCACAGTGTGGAGGTGGCAGGAAGGTACCCAACATCTTTCATCAGATGAACGATTGTGAGAAGCTCTCAGCTTCTGGCAGTTTGTTGGAAGGAGTAAGAGGTTAGCTCTTGGTGCTCTGACGCTATCGAGGGTTACAGGGTTACTTCCTGACCCCACGATTACCTGATGACTCGGGGTCAGTCTGAGGTTCAGGATTAAGGTTCAATGATGCCTCGGGGGGGAAACATTATTGTTTGTCTTGTTTGGTGTGGAACAGATGGTCCAAAGTATGTGACATAGATGGGACGATCTTTGACCTCTTACCTGTCCGTCAGGCACCAAGGTGACGAGTAAGGGCGGCCACACTGAGCGGATCTTCGTGGTGGAGTTCCGGCCGGACTCTGACACCCAGTTCGTGTCGGTGGGAATCAAACACATCAAGTTCTGGACTCTGGTTGGAGGTTCGCTCATGTACAAGAAAGGTGTGATCGGCTCAGTGGAGGACGGCCGCATGCAGACCATGTTGTCTGTTGCGTTCGGCGCCGTAAGAAACGCTGACGTTGCTTTTTTATGTAACGCTCTGGTGTTTGCGGATTTGTGGTAAATCGCTGTTTGTCTCACTCAGAACAACCTGACGTTCACTGGCGCCATCAACGGAGACGTGTACGTGTGGCGCGAGCATTTCCTGGTGCGCGTGGTGGCAAAGGCGCACAGCGGCCCCGTCTTCACCATGTACACCACTCTGAGGGACGGCCTTATCGTTACTGGGGGGAAGGAGCGACCGTGAGTCTGCAGTTCCTGAACATGCTGACCTACCACCTGCTTTTGGTGTTAATACAAAACAATGGTCCCAGATTCAACCAATCATTTAAAGTTTGCATTATTAGGGGTGTGGCCTCTTTGAATTACATGTGGATAGTGACACAGGTAGCTGTAGGTGCTAGCTGTCTGCTAGGCTTCACCTGAACTGGACCTCTGGACCGTGTTTGTGCTGTTGGAGCTTTTTTACTAACAGACGGTCCAAGAAGGCGGAGCTCCAGGTTTGGTGCGCAGTGATTGGACATTGCTAATCTTTGTCTGACTGATGCTTTCATATAGTCTGTGGTAACAAAAGTCGCTAGCATTAGCTCATAATAAAATCCATGCTCTAAACGATGGCTTCCGGAATCAGTGGATGATGCCACAGTGGGTGATGCCCCAGTGGGTGATGCCCCAGTGGGTGATGCCCCAGTGGGTGATGCCACAGTGGCTCCATCAGTCTCTATAAACCAGTGTTTCCACACCTTTTGGAGCACGACTCATATGAAAAATCACACAGCACACCACCAAACAAAAAGCATATTGATCATTTGTCCCCGAGCACCAGGCAGAGCGGACTTGGCTCAGTTTGTCCCCAGTTTACGTCTGGACTTCTTTAAGTTGCTTGAAGACGTTTCACCTCTCATCCGAGAAGCTTCTTCAGTTCTAAGGTCAAATGGTGACCTCCCCAGACGCCTTAATGCCCACTCACATCCTGGGACATCTGACCTCAGGAATTCACATGATAGGGTGGGGCCAGGTTTCACAATGAACTCACCCGAAACTCTGGCTGATTGGGACCCACACCCAGTTTCACACCTTGGCTCAGGCGATTAGAGGATCATCAGGGGGTCCTTTTGTCCCTCTGTGGGGGGAAACTCCCACTAGGTTTAAATCTGGGACTCTCCACCATTTGACCTTAGAACTGAAGAAACTTCTCGGATGAAGGTGAAACGTCTTCAAGCAACTTAAAGAAGTCCAGACGCTTTTCTTTCCAAGCTCCTTTGACTACGATGACCTGGATGACTGAGAACCTTCACACGTCCCCAGTTTACCTTTTTTGCTTTCTTCTGACCCATCTCATGCTCGGGCCTTCATCTGGGTCGGAGTTTTCTCCAGGACCAGGTCAGACTGACTGCTGTTTCTGTTCAAATATTTATCTATTGCGAGGATTATGTAATTTCTTCTTCGTCTTCTTCTGTTTTACTGGCAGTTGGCAACCCATTGAAATAGAGCAGGTAGTTGTACTGCCCTCTAGTGGAAGAGAATGCCATTGTTCTGCCCGTTACTCACGCCCGTCATTTAGAGTACTCATCAGGTGGAATCAGATAATCTGCCGCGGCACAGTGGTTGGGAAACACGGCTATAAACTGTGTGGACCGGCCACAAGCATGCCTAAAGGTTAAAGGTTACACCAGATGAAGATGAGGGTTCAGACAGATCCATTTTAGGGATGTACCCTTCTTCTGGATTCCTTTGATGTATATAAAAAACATGAAATCCCGCTGTCTGCTGCTGTTCATCAGGACCAAAGAGGGTGGTGCTGTGAAGCTTTGGGACCAGGAGATGAAGCGCTGCCGAGCTTTTCAGCTGGAGACCGGCCAACCGGTGGAGAGCGTCCGATCTGTCTGCAGAGGAAAGGTGTGAAGAACACACTGTGGAAGGTCCGTGGTGCTTGATGTGATTCCAGTGACAGGAAGAGTAACCTCCAACTCTCTGACAGGGTAAAATCCTGGTGGGAACCAAGGATGGGGAGATCATAGAGGTTGGAGAAAAGAACGCTGCCTCCAACACCATGATCAACGGACACACTCAGGGAGGCATCTGGGGTTTGACAAGTCACCCTTTCAAAGACGTCTTCATCTCCGCCAGCGATGACGGGACCATCCGAATATGGGACCTGGCTGATAAGGTACGGGGTTGAACTGTGGTGTCTGCTGACCTCACCTGGTACGGCGTGTTCCTTTAATCCTGCTTTCTGTCTTAGAAACTCCTGAACAAGGTGAGTTTGGGCCATCCTGCCAAGTGCACGTCCTACAGTCCCAATGGAGAAATGGTTTCCATCGGCATGGAGAACGGGGAGTTCATCGTCCTGCTGGTCAACTCGCTCACTGTCTGGGGCAAGAAGAGAGACCGCAGCGTGGCCATCCAGGACATTCGGTGGGTTTGAGCATTAGCACGAACAGGAGCCAGTTCTGGGACTAACTTCAGTTTCTGGATTTCTTTGTTCAGGTTCAGTCCAGATAACCGGTTCTTGGCGGTGGGCTCAGTTGAAAGCGCTGTGGATTTCTACGACCTCTCTCTCGGGCCGTCGCTTAATCGGATTGGTTACTGCAAGGACATTCCCGGGTGTGTCATCCAGATCGACTTCTCTGCTGACAGCAGACACATCCAGGTACTTTCACTTCCTTCTTAAATAAAGGTTAAAGGTTAAGAAGACACGTGCTGAGTTATGACACATGGGTCTGTTGTTGTGACCTCTGACCTTTTCCTTGTGGGTCAGAGCTCTGTCAGGCGAGAGCTAGTTTTCAATGTCTTGATTTATTCACAGGTGTCCACAAGCACCTACACCCGGCAGGTGCACGAAGTTCCCTCAGGGAAGGTGATCACGGATCAGCCCATCCTAGACAGGATCACCTGGGCAACCTGGACCAGGTGAGGCAGAAAAGTTGATTTGCTGTGCTTAATGTTAGCTAACGTTAGTGTTAGTGGGAACGCCTCAGACCATGTATGAGTCTCAAACTCCTCGAGGGGCGGTGTCCTGAAACCATGTGTCCCTGCTGCAACACACCTCAATACAATTAGTGGGTGATTAGCAAGGCTCTATAGAACTTGACTGCATGCTGAGGTGGTGACCCCGACCCCTAACCCTACTCGAGTAAGTGTTTGGAAATATTTACTTTTATTGCACTGTGTTCATTCAGTCATGAGCTGCTGTAACAGTAGGGCTGCCACGATTAGTCGACTAGTCACGATTACGTCAACGACTGATTTAATAGTCGACGCGTCGTTTGAAGCTTTGTAAGATCACAAAAGACGCAGGAATAAGTAGTAGGATTTAAGAGTGTAATAACGGACTGAAACAGAAGATGGCAGCACTGCATGTACAAGGATGCCAGCTG